CTTCCTTCCTTCCTTCCTTCCTTCCTTCCTTCCTTCCTTCCTTCCTTCCTTCCAAGGTGTGCAGTAGTTAGAAAGCAATATTGCAAGCTAACTCTGCCGACTGCCAGCAGTTCGATTCTTACCAGCTCAAGGTTGATTCAGCCTTCCCTCCTTCAGAGATGGGTCAAATGAGGACCCAGATTGTTGGGGGCAAGAGGCTGACTCTGTAAACCCCTTAGAGAGGGCTGTAAAAGCACTGTGAAGCGGTATATAAGTCTAAAGGCTATTGCTATTCTGCTTACTTTCTTTCCCCTTCTCTCTCATTGCTTCTCTCTGAACAGGCACCGAGGCATTATCTACGCCTACGAGTTTTCCGTGGACCAGTTGGTGGCAGAGAGCGTCCTTCCTATCTGCCGCTCCTCTTACAACGAAATGACCGGCTACAACTACAACATTGGCCTTGCGGTCCCCTATGACAACATCTAGGCGGTGCGGGAAGAAGGGGAGAGAACCAAGAGGTCTGGGGAATCTCTCCGTCATCCAGGCCAGGGTTGTCCTAAAGGAGCCCTTTTTTCCCCCCACAAGAGGCAGCTTGGACATTCTGGTTTGTTCCGTTTCTCCGAAGAGGTTTCGCTTCCCATCCGAGAAGCTTTTGGGATGAGAGTCGCGAAACGTCTTAGAGGAGAAAGGAAGATCAGTGGCCTCTTGGGGGGAAAAAGCACCTTCAGGCCGAGGGGAAGACCAGCTAAGCTGGACCCTGCAGAAGGGGAACCCCAAGGATGGAGCTCCTGCAGAGCTCTTGGGAGGGCTCGGGCTGGCCCAGCAGCAAAAGAGGGCCGCATGGGATCTCCCCAAAACCTCTAACAACACCACTGTAGGATCGAAGAGATGGTGGCCCACAGGAACCACGAAAGATAGGTAAGAATCGGGAGGTAGTAACAAAGGCTGAAGCCCCAAAACCAGGAGTTAGGAACACGGGCTGTGGCCCACATGGGCAGAGACCACGCTGGTGGGAACAGGGAGGGGGGGGGTCCATTCAATTGCACTGCGTTCAACACTGCTCTTCTGGAGATGGCACCCATGCTACCTGCAACACCTGGAGAGCTGCCTGCAACATCTGGAGAAGATAGGACTTTGGGAGCGTTTTCCTTGTAAATAAAATCTCTTTATTAAGCGATGGTCTCGGGACAGGGGTGAGGGGGCGTTGGTGTGCTTGAAAAATGGCTGCTTTCGTTGTCAGTGGTGCTTGCGTTTGAAACCCCAAATTAGGAGGCGACCCGGAGGACGCCCTGCCACGCCTTCCGTGGCCCTCCCGCCACAGGTAAGTCGAGCACGTGTGTGTAAGTATCCTTTCTCCTCCAGCTCCATTGGCACTTCCCCTTGATTGTGCCAGGGCTGCCCAAACGGCGGCCTTTCCTCTTAACCGTGCTGCCTAAGGGCGCTGGGAGTTGTAGTACATCTCTAGCTCGGTGCAGCCTGAGGTTCTTCTTGGACCGATACGGCATCTCCGTGCCAGTTCCTGTTGGCTGGGTCAAAAAAACCCGTAGCATGAGTCAATTTTTGGAGGCCTCCTGCTATGGATGGGCCAAAGCAGCAGAGGGGGATTCCTCTTAGCCTCCTTAGAAAGGGCTGATGATGATGGGACTCGGTGTCCGGAGGCAATTGGAAAAGGGACCGGCACAGGAGCTCAGCACCTGAATGTTGGCAGTGCTTGTGCAATCAGGAGGCGAGCGAGTGGTGTATATATGGGCAAAGGGGATTTTTCTGGCCAACTTCAAATGTTCCAAGGTGGCGCAGTGGTTAAATGCAGCACTGCAGGCTACTTCAGCTGACAGCAGTTCGGCTGTTCAAATCCCACCAGGCTCAAGGTTGACTCAGNTTCTATTCTATTCTAAACCACTGACTGACTGCTGGCACTTTTATTCCAGGCACCCCATTCGCCACGTCTCCTTCAACTCCCACAGCCTCATCACGGCCAACGTCCCCAATGAAAAAACTCCCCGGGGGGCCAGCATCACGGACGACGACTTGACCGCCCACCGAAGGTGAGAGCAGCTGACCCTCCTCCCAGTGGGACTTTATCCAAATCCTCAGGAGGCGCCCTGGGACACTCCTCTTCGGTGGCGCTGGACTACAATCCCCAGGAGTCTCAGCGAGGCAATAGGCCAGGAGTCATCCCCAAGAGGGCCTTTCTGACTTTAAACAAAGGGAAGGAGGCGGGTGGGGGAGCGAGGTCTCGCGCTGTCGGAGAACCAGGAGTGTTGGGGGTTTAGGGTAGGAAGACTCTCCAAGTATGAGTTGCAAGCGAGCTCCGTGGTGAACAGCACGTGGCTGGTTGACTCCTGGAAAAAGAAACCCGGCGCGATGGGTGAAAGGGGGTGTGAGGTTCCAGCACCTGTTTTTATGGGTTGGTTTGGCTGAGGTTGATGGGAATTATAGTTCAGCTGCTTCTGGGTGGCTATTGGTGTCCCTTCCGCTTGGGAAACAGTTTAGCTCACCAAATTCTATTTAAATCTTATCTTCTCTTTTCTTCCCTCTTCTCCTCTCTTCTCTTCCCTTCTCTCTTCTCTTCACCTCTCTTCTCTTTTTCCATTCCATTCCATTCTTCCTTTCCTTCTTCTCTTCTCTCTTGTCTTCCCTCCCCTCCACCCCTGTTCTCTTCTTTTCCATTCCCCCTCCCTTCCTTCCCTCTTCTCTCTCTTCTCTTCCCTTCTCTCTTCTCTTTTCTTCCCTTCCCCTCTCTCTTCTCTTCACCTCTCTTCTCTTTTTCATTCCATTCTTCCCTTCCCTCTCCTCTTCTCTTCCCTCTTCTCTTCCCTTCCCTCCCCTCCACATCTGTTCTTTTCCACTCCCCCTCCCTTCCTTCCCTCTTCTCTCTTCTCACCTTTTCCCTTTCCTTCTCCTCCCTTCCGTTCCCACCCGTTTCATCACATTCTGAGCAGGCTTCCTAGAAGATGGGTACAAGAGAGTTGACATTTCTAGAGTGGCCTTTCTCAATCTTGGCTACATTAAGCTAGGAAATTCTGGGGATGGAAGTCCACGCATCTTATAGTGGCCAAGATCGAGAAACACCACTCTAAAAGTAGAAGAACCAAGGACCATCAAGGGTGCTTCTTCTAGCCCATGGGCCTACTCTGAACTGATGTGCTTGCATTTTAATATCTCCTCAGCCCGAGAGAGTAACCAGAGTCTTAAGAACAATGTCAATCCTTCAATCTTGGCAGCTTTCAGATGTGCAGACTTCAACTCCCAGAATCCCCCCAGCCAGCATGAAGTTGAAGTCCACACACCTTAACATTGCCAAGGTTGAAAAGTAGCTACAGAGGGCTTTGAACTGCTGGGAACCAGGCGGGTTGGAGTGCAGGCCTGCAGGCTACTTCAGCTGACTGCTAGCTGCAGTTCGGCAGTTCAAATCTCACCAGCCTTCCATCCTTCTGAAGTGGGTAAAAGGAGGACTCAGATTGTTGGGGGCAAGAGGCTGACTCTGTAAACCGCTTAGAGAGAGCTGTAAAAGCACTGAAGCAGTATATAAGTCTAAATGCATTGCTATTGTCCTTCCTTCCTTCCTTTCCTTCCTTCCTTCCTTCCTTCCTTCCTTCCTTCCTTCCTTCCTTCATTCATTCATTCATT